TTTTTTTTTTTTTTTCATGCAATGTTTGATTCTACTTTCAGTACGGATTGCACGACAAAGGATACCCTCCCATTCGTGCTTGGGAAAATGTGAAATGTTTGGATTTTTTTTATAAGCAAAAAATAAATAAAATAATGAACCAAAAAATAATTAATATATACGCATAATCTTATTTGTATAAGATTACCAAATGCCCTGAGACGACTAGTGGCAAATCCGTATGCTCGAATCTCATGTGATAAAATTTCATGCTTCATTATTTGACTTTGATAAATTTTAATTTACTTTCAATAAAAAATAAATAGGTTCGAATTATCCATAAATATGTTAATCATTTATAGTCATTTTACATATATTAATAGCATTTTAATATCATTACATAATATGACAATTGAATTGTAAATGTATTTGAAAAGTCCATAATTTTTGTATGTTTATCAATTTTGCATATATAGTATATCAAATTAATCATATCTTGATTAGCTTCGATTTGTCATTCACAATATATTTATAAAATAAATAAAATGTATTTATTTATTAAAAAATAATTTTATTATTGTTATAAAGATAAAGATAAATATAATTTCATCAAGAGATGATTCATTTGATATATTATAAATGTAAAATTGATAAAAAAAAAGTTATTAACTTTTAAAATACATTTACAATTCAATGGTTATAATAAGAAATGATATCACAATATAATTAATACATGTAACATGACAATAAATAATCAACATATTTATGGAAAATTCGAACCTAATTATTTTTGGATCGAAGTAAATTAAAAAATCTATCCAAGACAAAGCAATGTAATTTTGTCATATAAGATCCCGAAGCATGCGAGCCGATCACTCAGACTCAACACATTCTGACTTAATATATACGGGCATATAGGGGGCATATTGATGCAGAATAAATATAAGTATTTATTATTATTATTATTATTATTATTATTATTATTATTATTATTATTATTATTATTATTATTATTATTATTTCATAATTAGTAGTTGCTTAGGAAATAAGCTAAGTTTAGGGTTAGGGCTTTATTTAAAGGGAGTTATGATTTGTTATTGGGGAGTAGAATTTGATGAATAAAAATAATTGATCGTGTTTTCTTTTGGGAGTGTATCCCGTGTTCTGGAGAGAGTATCTCCTTGTATTTTCCCGTTCGTTCACGCTTTCGCTACATCAGTTGGTATCAGAGACCGGGTACGTTCCCCGATGCCGCCAATGAGAGGAAACACCAACGATCCTACCATCTACGACCGATTGCAACGGATAGACGATCGGATTCAAGGTATGGATGATCGGGTTGATGAACTTTCTATGGAGATCGAGGAATTACGGGTTGCTGTGAGTACCATGATGGAGGAGGTGCGTCGGAATCGCGAAGTGGCTGACCGGGGCACTAGCGAGGGACACCGCAGTGGTCGAGGAGGTCGGGGTTTAGGCGGGGCGCCCCGCCGCCGATCGCCACCACCACCGCCTACCGGTGATGACTCCAACGACACCTTAACCGGGGAGAATCCTTTCGCAGACGGGATCAACAAGCAGGGCAGAGCTCCTGGGTTCGGATTTCGCGATGGCGGATTAGGGTTTCACGGGCATGGTGCTGGCGGGTTTGGTTTCGCGCAGGGGTGGCGCGACGGAGCTGCGGGACGTCGCCTGCGGGGTCCATGGCGGGCCGGGACTGAGCAGGAGGACGACCGGATGTTCCGTCGGGATGGGCCTCAGTCCGACGATGAGGCGTTTGAGGAGGATATCGGCGACTTTCGCCACGGCCGCGGGCCTCAGGCAACAGCAAATTTCCGACGCGGCGGTTGTTTTGATTACGGTGATGGGGCGGTTGAGAAGTGGCAGCAGCGACGGGATTGGCGAGATGTCGGCTATGGCGATTTGAGCAATGAGCAGATTCGAGCTGTCGTTAATTGGGAAGATGATGATTCTGACCCTTTTTTCAATTTTGGGCCTGCGCAAGAAAGGCCCAATTCCATTTATTGGGACAAGGGGATGAATGGAATTAATCCAGCTTTTGGGGCCTGTGAATTAACTGCGAAAATTGGGCTCGCTGACGAGGATATTCTTGACTTTTACGATCACGATGACGGGTCAATTTACGACGGTCCGCCTATTTTTGATGAGGAACCTTCGATGCCGAAGACATATTTTCGCAGTAATATGGATGTCGAATGGGACGACGCAACAATTAAGTCGTTGAATGGGAAGCCATTATTCGGACCCGATTTAGGGCGTGTCTTGGCCAACGATGGTTTTTGGGAACCGCCTACGAGTCTGCATACCTTGTGGTCCGTTTTCCGATTGTGTATCGCGAAGTCTCCCCTCAACGGGAAGGTTGGCCATACTTTTGGATTTGGACGCAACGAACGTGGTCTTATGTTTGTTATTCTTTCGGATGTGTGGGTTATGCGTCTGGAGGCATGTACATGTGCCTTTGCATTAGCTCGTTCCTTGCCCACGCTTATGTTTACCTTCGATGTTGTTGGGCGTTCTTCAAGCTTCGTGTTTGATCGAGGACGAAGCGGGACACACTTCTCCAACAGGAACGGTTCGGATTCGAGGGCGAATCCTGCTCAACCGGGGGAGAATGATGCAGAATAAATATAAGTATTTATTATTATTATTATTATTATTATTATTATTATTATTATTATTATTATTTAATAATTAGTAGTTGCTTAGGAAATAAGCTAAGTTTAGGGTTAGGGCTTTATTTAAAGGGAGTTATGATTTGTTATTGGGGAGTAGAATTTGATGAATAAAAATAATTGATCGTGTTTTCTTTTGGGAGAGTATCCCGTGTTCTGGAGAGAGTATCTCCTTGTATTTTCCCGTTCGTTCACGCTTTCGCTACATCACATATATAGGGAGATGTTACAGTCCCGTTATGGAATCATTCTATCGGAGTTTGTAATCGTTAGATCAACTATCTCTAGCGGTTATATGATGATCTAACAGTTACAAACTACGAAGAAATAGTTTCGTAACTGAACCGTAACATTTCTCAGCATATATACCGAGGGCATGTGTTACGTTCTAATTTCTTTTTGTCTCATACCCTAATTAAGAAAACCAACTCACCAAAACAATTGGTCACCCACATTTTTTTTTTTTACCGAAACGATAGAGGTATTATAAATCAAAACGCACAACAGTGCAAGAAAGCAGCCCAAGGCTGAATACTACAACCAAGAACTAAAAACTGAGAGGACGGATCGAAAGACCGCCTAGAGCCTCGCTAGCCATGCTAGAATAGAAAAACCTACTACAAACAACTAAAAGACACCAACACAACTAAGATCGCTCCCCACGGGAGAATAGGATCGCCCCCCACGGGGGAATCAGCACAAAGGCCAACGGCCCAGACCAAAAACACGACAACTAACAAAGCACCAACACAAACAACTAAACAAGAACAAAAACTAAAAACACAAGAACCAAAAGCAACTACAATCTAATAAAAATGCCTCCCTCAGCACATATATCCGAAAAGGACAACAGACAGAGCCGAATCCGCGGAAAGCTTCGAAACTCCGAGCCCTCGCCCACCACTGCATAAGGCCTAGTAAGACGAAGACCTGAGCATAAAGCAAACCAAGAAAACCGCCCCGCACTTCATCTGCAAAAAGCCACGAACACCACCCCACCGGCTAACACCACTAGCCGATCCGACATCCACCCGAAGCAACCTAACACCACTAGCTTACTCCGTAATAGCCGTCGGCCTTCCCCAAGCTCAGGCCGAGAAAGGGAAGAAAAGAGCTAGTGACTCCCCTGCTTGACCGCCCCGAATCTGCCCGAACGAAGCACCTCCAAACAAAACCAACCCGCTAGGAAGGCCCAAACCCACGACCCCTCGAATCTAAGAACCGGCGACCAAGCCCCAGCGGAAATCGGAAGACCACCAAAAGCATCCCTCCAAAATTGGCTGAGAAAGAGCGCCCTGATCAAAGCCAACACAAGCAACACAAGCATCGTCCACGCCCGACCACACCCCGTCATGCCCCGAAGCCACTAGATTCCGGCGACCTTCGAGCGGATAACGATTCCGCAAAACCCTAGCCCTTACCCAGTGACGACCAGACAGAGGACGGGGCGCCGCGGCATGGACAAGCGGAAGAGCCCGTCCGCCGACGATGACGGACAGCCACTGAGGGGGGAGGATTATCTGCAAGAGATTGACGGCGAGAGAGAGGGATTTGGGGGAGGCGGGGATTTGGGGGAGACGGACAAAAACTCTTTCTAAGTAGTGAATCTCCACATTTTTATTTAATTCTAATTATAACATGTAAAAATTAAATGAAATACTATTAATATAATCATATATAGTTGCCCAAGGAATTAAACAATAAAAAATAAACCAACCGTATAATTATTTTTTTTCAAAATAAGTTAACCAATAAATACAAATTTGACATATGACTTTTTACTTAACAAAATAATAATACCTTCACCTTGTGATTAAACCCTTCCATTTTTTCACCCACACAGCCGTCTCATCTTTTTCACCTCGACTCGATCACTTTCCTCAACAGGCAGGCGCACCATAAATCCTCTGCATAAATTCCAAAACAATTCGATCTCCCATGGAGTTTCTTAAGCTCTACCTCTGGAGTATTTGCAATCAAACTCCTTTTGGATTCGTGCTGTAACAGTTTTTTTTTTTTTTTTTTTTTTTTTTTTTTAAGGAAAAGATGGGTTCGATTCGACCGGATCTGAGAGGAAGAATCTTCCCGGAGCCCATCGACCACTTCGACCGGCTGCCGGACTCCGTCATCCTCCTGATCTTCAACCGGATCGGCGATGTCAAGGCCCTCGGCCGCTGCTGCGTTGTTTCCAGGCGATTCCACGATCTCGTTCCCCAGGTCGACAACGTTGTAGTCCGCGTGGACTGTGTCATCTCCGACGACGACCCATCGGCGACCTCCTCGTCCGCCGCCGCCTCCGGCGGCTCCGACAGGTCGCGCCACCCGATCTCCTCCCTTTTCCGCGTCCTTTTCTCCGGACTCCTCAAGCCCTTGCAGTCCCTGTCTCAGCTTATCACCCATCCGTCCCGTCGCCTGACTCTGCCCGACGATTTCGACGGTAACACAGAGCCGAGCATCGTCACTCACCATTCACCTACGCAGGTATTGAAGAATTTCAAAGAGATCAAGCTTCTCAGAATAGAGCTTCCCAGCGGGGAATTAGGGATCGATGATGGTGTTCTGCTAAAGTGGAAGGCTAATTTTGGTTCAACTCTTGATAGCTGCATTATTCTTGGAGCTTCAAGTGTCATTCAGAACATGGGTAGTGCTGTTGAATGTATGACTAGTTGTAATAACAATGATTGTGTTAACAACAGCAACAACAACAGCGCTAATAGTGGGGTGGATGAAGATAACGGGAGCATACCCGAGTCATTTTACACCAACGGAGGGTTGAAATTGAGAGTTGTATGGACTATAAGCTCCTTAATAGCTGCCTCAGCCAGACATTATCTGCTGCAGCCTATTATAGCTGAGCACAAGACGTTGGAGAATTTGGTATTGACAGATACGGATGGGCAGGGGGTTTTGTCTATGAATAAAGAGCAATTGGAGGAGCTGAGGGTGAAACCCTTGTCGGCATCTTCAGCATCGAAGAGGACTCTGGTGCCGGCTTTGAATATGCGATTGTGGTATGCGTCCCATCTCGAGTTGCCAAATGGTGTGATATTAAAGGGAGCGACTTTAGTTGCGATTAGGCCCAGCGAGCAGCCCAAGAAGGATGTGATGGGATCGGAGGGGGATTGGGTTTCGTCGGCCTTTGAGGAGCCGTTTGGGACTGCTGCAAGGATGTTGGTGAAGAGAAGGACTTATTGCCTGGAAATGAACTCCTTTTGATGAGTGTAGAAGGCTGAATTTGGAGGCAGTGCTGCCTATAATTTTCAAAAACATTTGGAGATCAGTGTGTGTGTAACATTGCTTGTGGAATGTTGTGGGTAGTGTAATTTTGTATTCTATACTACTGTTTTATGGGGATTTTCATGTATGTTGCTTCGTGTACTTAGTGTTGAATTATTATGATTATTACCCTCAAACCGTGACTTTCATTTGTCTTGGTTAAATTAAGTTTCTCAATGGTTGATAGTTTTTTACTTGATTCGCATGTAGCATCCTTGCTATGCAAAATACCGTGTTATATGTTGCAGAGAATCTTTGATGACAGTTTTGACTTCGAAAAACCATGGTCAGTAGCAGTATATTATCTATGTAGTCTTCTGAGTGAAATTTTCCAGTCTTATTGGAAAGTTATCCTGGTTTTGTGACCATTAAAAGCTATATCCTGTGAATTGCCGGAGTATTTGGTAAGCTCGGTTAAGCTTTTTCTCTCAGCCTCGCTGGACCACTGCACTGGAGACACCACCAGTCCTCTTCTTCCGCCGCTGCTCCACCTCTTGGAGTATTAGGTGAGATGCATTGGTTGATTTCTTTCTTTTATTAGTATGTAACTTGAACAGGCTTTTTGGGTAAGATAAGTCTCCAATTTGTGTCATAGATTTTTAGTTTTTGAATTCTCAGTGAAGCCAAATCTCAGTTTCTTGGCTGTTTGTTGGAGAAGTTGAAGTTGTTAATATTATTGCTTGGATCATTTTTGGTGTCAAATTTTGTGAAAATAGTGCCGATGTCTCAGAATGCACAAATGCTTGACGTGTATTCTCTCATTTCTGTGGTGTTTGTTTTTTCCTTCTGATTAATTTTTTCCTTTTTTTTTCTTTATTTTCTGTTACTGTGTTGGGTTTCAGATTAAAAGTTCTACTCATCTACATTTTTAGTTCTTTGGCTTGTAGTTTAGCCTAAAGTTGCAGAGCAAAGAAATAAATTGAAGAGAAACAATCTATAAGACCACAAAACTGAGTAACATAAACCAACTTCCGATGACGGATATTGTGGGCCACTATTTTGTCGGCTTTTGTTACTTATGGGATATTTTCTGTTAAATGATAGTTTTTTATTTACTCATTGTTGGTTATTTACAAGATCTAGAGGGTTCATTACTGGAGCTCTGGAAATTGATGGTCACAGCAACCGAAGAGCAACATACGTTTCAGCAAGTTACATGTAACATGGCTGCTCCCGAAGACAAGACAACAGAGCCCGACAGCTTTCTGCTGATTTTATTAATTATGTGAGCCAATATTTTGCTTGAGGGGCATAATAAATTGTATTGTTTTTTTTCCACAATTTCCTTTCACTTTGTGATTATAACTTATAAGTTCATGCATCATTTATCTCTCGGGCCAAGGCTGAAGTTTATCGATTGGAGGAGTTGAAAATAAGCAAGATGAACTATCTTGTTTTGTAGAAGCCCGAGCTCGAAGATTTTTGTACGAAAACATGTTGAACTCCAGTACCTGATTGTTCTATTGACGTAGTAGCTATGGAGGCTGTCGATATTGTCATTTTCTTTTCAGTTCTTTCTGATTTTTATTCTTGTGGTTAAATGTAAGGAACTCTTTATGTCTTTTTTTGTGCTTGAACAAATTGAGCTCCAAATATCTTAAGACAAGGAGGAGGCATTCAGTCGGAAAGAAATCCTTCAAAACGATGAGAAATGGATGGCTGTACGTGATGAGGAGAGTTGGCTTGAGGAGTACAATAGGTTGGACTCTTCATTCTTACATAAATTATTATTCCTTAGATCCTGAGTTACAAATACTCAGTTACTCTGAGTTATTATACCTTTTGTTTTCTTTTTAGGAAGAGAATCGTTATAATGATGGGAGAGGTGATCATCTTTCTCTTAAACATGCTGAAAAAGCCTGGGCATTAGCCAAAACATGCTGAAAGAGAAGGTTTCTTGCTAAGTCGACTCGCGATTCTATTATTTGGTTAACCCCTCCGCTAACAAATCAGGTGTGGACTAATACATCATGGCTCGCCTGTAATTTCCGTGTATTTTGCATCATATGCTTTTTATATATTTTTTTTTTGGGTTAATTAGAAAAGGGATCCATAAGAAGGGAAAAAATGGCTAATGTTTAAAATTATGAAGAATATCCTTGATTTTACTTTCCACATTTACCCTCTTCATAAGCCAAAATATAAACACTAAAACACCTTTTCCCCTTTACAGAACTAAAATTTACTTTTAATACTGAATGAATGTATGTGGGCATCTTTTGCGAAACTGAGACCTTTTTGTAATTAATCGAAACTTCAAGGGACCTTTTCTATTTAATCTAAATATGTCCCGGCCATCTTCTGGACTTCATTTGGATTTCAATGTGGAAATAGTTTACGATTATTCTCGACTTGATAACTAACTTGTCTTTTTTTTTTTTTTTTTTT